CCCCTTGAACCCCACCACCTCGAAGGTGAGGGTCTCCTTCTGCGGTAGTTGGAGGGGTGCCGGCGAGACGGGTAAGTCTATGCGCCTGGGGGGTCGCAGCGCATCCACGGCATGATGCCGTGGAAGGCGCGGTGTCGCCTCGGAGTTGTGACCGGTCGAGCCCTAGGAGCCCCAGCGTGTTGGCGTCTGAGGATGTTGAGGCCACGCCTCAAATCCATCAACACCTTGGTGAGTCGGGTGTTCCCGATGATCGGGTCAACGACAATGAGTCTTGGCCGGGGTTTGGGACATGATCGGGGTGGTCATCCCGATCGAAGGTGATCGCCTCCGAGACCAATCCGAGTCTTGGGGAGTGGCCACCTTAACCGAGAAGACCTCTCGGCATTCCCTTTTTGTTGTCTTGTTTGTGAGAGAGGCACGTCGAGGGCCCACCAAGATCATGAAGGCATTGTGTACCTCGGGAACCCGTCGTCCTTGTCGTTGTCTCCGTCATCCCGGCCCTCTTCTTGGCATCGTGGTTGGGAGCCCGAGCTTGGCGTGAAGTATCATTTGGAGCATGGTGCACTCCTCGAGGGTGTGCTTTACCGGGCCCTCGATGGTATGGGCGGGGGTCTTTTAAGCATGTTGTCGAAGAGCCACGGGCCTTGGGGATTCTTGCGGTCCGCTGGGCGCGACGACAGCCCGACCTCGAGAACCTCCTGCTTCCCTGGCGTCCCTTCTTCTTTTTTTTTGGGGGGCGAGGCGTCCGAGGCCTCGGGGTCTCATCCGCCTCTTCCCTTGGAGTCATTGTTGGGAAGATGGCCCCGACGGCTCTCTTCGCCAGAGGCGGCAGGTGGTGGCGATGTCGAGGAGTGCGCGACGCCAGAGTCGATGCGCTCCGGCCTAACTCTCGGACCAGTCTCGGCAATTGGTGCCGGAGAGGAATGCTGGATGATTTCTGAGTCGCCGACGCTTTGGGCAACTCGGTGCATTGCTTGGAGAAGCGTCGGATGAAGTCTCGGAGACTCGTCCGGCCCCTGGCGGCAACTCTTGAGGTCCCAGGAGTTCCCGGGGCGCGTGTAGGTGCCCTGGAAATTCCTGACAAAGACCTTTACCAAGTCGCGCCAGTCGTGGATTTGCATAAGGGGAAGGTGTTCGAGCCGAAGCTCGCATATTGAATCTGACGAGAAATAGGGAGGTTGTGGATGATGAGGTCATCGTCCGTCACTTAGCCCTAGCCCGACAAGCCAGATAAAGAATCGGCCAACCATAGCTCGGGGTTGGTCTCGCCATGGTATGCTGAGAGATTCATTTGGTGATGAAACCGGGCCGGGAAGCGGGCGCTGCTGACGGCCTTACTGAAAACTCTAGGGCCAGGCGGCCGGGAGAAGGACTGTGGTCCTCCCCATTGTCATAGCGACCGCCTCGGTGCAATTGGTAGCCCCGGGCGGCCCCATCGTGGTCGTGGCACCGTCGTCTGCTGCCCATGTGGTGGCCGTTTTGTGCCTCGCGTTGGTCATCGAGGCGGTCGTGCACCGAGGGGGCCCTGAGGCGGTCGTGCACCGAGGGGGCCCTGAGGCGGTTGTGCACCGAGGGGGCCCTGAGGCGGTCGTGCACCGAGGGCGCCCGAGGCGGTCGTGCACCGAGGGTCTGTTTCGGCGTCCCGTCGTCGAGACACGGAGCTTTCGACTTGCCGCACCGCAAGATAGTCTCGAAAGGCCCCGGAGTTCACCGTGGACCCATCGCCTCTCCGTGGTAGAGGGCTCGAGCATCGCTTCGGACCAATGTCGCCGCCGCGCGCCGACGCTACGCTAGCGCGATTGAAGACGGGGTTGCTCCCCCCTCATCATCGCACGCGGCGGTTGACATCGCGAACCCCACGAAGCGTTCCGCCATCGCCGCGCCCATTTGCTCTTGCTCGAGGGTGGCTCGGAGCTGCTGCGGAGGAGTCGATCTTGCTCGACCTTGGTTTGAAGCTCACGGAGCTGCTCTAGGTCTATCGTCGAAGTTGCTCGGGGGGTGGGGACACTGCTTGGCCCGGCGGGATCCGTGCATGGTGGTGTGGCGTTGGCTGCCCTTCCTCCATCGTTACTGTGCTCGGCATTCCGAGTCCGATGTGGAAACACTCACGAGTCGGGCTGCAAGCGTCCTCGCCGTCGAAATCGTAGTAGCCGAAGCGATGGTCGCTCGCGATCATGAAGCGGCGCGACGCCTCGTGGTCGTGAATCCCGAAGAAAGTGCTGCTCCAACCCACGCCTCGTCCTCCTCCGAGGAGTCGAGTAGGGTGGATTGGAGTTGTGACTATGGGGTTATGGGCGTGGCGTTGATGAATGGAGATGAGGCGGTGGCGTGGGGCGGCGACATTGGTCAGCCCAAAGGGTGCAGGGGATGGCGCCGTCGCTAGGCTCGGCTCCACTGTAGCTGGCTCCTCGGGAGGAGGCGGGATGTGAGCTTGATGATGGGGCCTCGCATGCGCCACCGGCCCTTTTCCCTATCGAGGCTTAAGCCGACACGGGTCCCCAGCCAGGGGACTCTGTGCTGCCAGCCGGGGTATGGGATTCTGGTGGAGCATAGATCGACGTTCTGTACTTGCACGGTGTTAGGGTGGACTCGCCAGCATGCGCGCTGTGGCGAGCTTGACGGGAGCGGGCGGCTGAGCGCCGCCGTCTGCGCGCGTGGGCTGCCGGTATGACGCATGGCGTCGTCGTCGGTTGATGGCGCTTCTGGTGAGAGGAGTACCATGTCGTACTTCGTGCCCTAGAGACATGAATTCTAGGCTCCCGAACCAGACGATCGTCCCGAGACACAACGATCGCACGGGATCTACCATCCGGAATCTGGTGGGATGACTAAGCTGACACGTAGAGGCCCCTACCTAGCCATATCAACTCGCGGTGTTTGAACCGGGGTCCTTAACCGACTAGTGAATTTGTCTTTGCGTGCTCCCGATTCGGATGGTGATGCAAAGAGACACAAGGTTTATCTTGGTTCGGCAATGGATGCCCTCGTCCGGTCTGAGAAGATGTTCTTGTATTCCTTGCACCGGGGTGCTTTCGTAGTAGGGGTTACAAGCTAGGCGAGAGAGGGAGTTCGTCCCAAGTCTCTGTGAGGGAGGTGATATGAATTACGAGAATCTGCGGCGTGTTGTTCGTGCGAGTGTTCGTGACTCTATCCGCCGTCCCTAAAACGGTCTGGCCGCCTCCTTTTATAGCCACGGGGAGGAAACCAGAGTACATAAGAGAGCTACACGTGGGCGGACTATTCGATGGCGTATTTACTCTGGAGCAACATGGCGTTGTCGTGGGAGTTCCGTAGATGTCTAATCGGTATGGTCTCCATTGCAAGTAACATGCTATGCATTTGTTGACTTGGTGGATTCTGCGAGAGGCTCGGCGGCCATCGTGGCCGTCGTCGCGCGAGGCTGTTATCTTACCGAGGCCTGCCGTGCGAGGCCCGCAGTGACCAGTGCGGATCTGGGTCTCAGCGGCCGTCGAGCGGAATAGTCTTGAGACGATGCGCCTCTGAGGATCTGATACCTGTATTGTCGATGGGATGGTAAAAAGGTGATCGACCGTTGTCCGTTGCTCTGTTGCGGCGCACTTTGCCGATCGTGGCTTACGTGGCGGGTGCGGTGGCGCGTGTCGGATGTGACAGACCGCCGGAGAGACTTTTGAGGCGGAGGCGACAAGGTTGTGGGACGAGCCCGGCCTCGGCGGCGGCGGAGCGCGCCAATTTGTCCGAGGCCCTTCCGAGGGGTCTCGGCGGCGGACGGGCGAGGTGGAGTAAGATCGCTGAATTCGAGGCCTGTCGAGTGGGCTCGGGTGAGCCGGGCTGGTCGGTCCGCCGATTCCGAGGCTCTGAGGAACCCATTCGACTCTCCACGCTGCGATGTCCTTGGTGCGGGAGTTAAGCGGCACGATGGTGGGTAACCCACACTTTCTGTGCCATCGCAGATGGCGGGGAGGTTGACGCGACCGGCGTGTAGTCGGTCACTTCACTGTCTTGTGCCATCGTGCGTCCAGCCGGAGTGGTTGGGCGCTTGGATGCGACGTTCGGTCGAGCGCTTGGTCGAAGAGGCGTTCACGGGGCTGGTGTCGAGCCGGCCTCGCGAATCGGAGAATCGGCACTTCTTCCGAGGCCCGGCGAGGGGGCCTCGACGAGGGGCCTCGGCGAGGCGTTCTCGGCGGTCGGAGAATCGTTAAACTTCTGTTGGGGCTCGGCGATGGGGTCTCGGGCGAATCGGAGATTTCGGCCGAGACCTCATTTGTTTATTCCGTTGGTTCTGTTCTTAGGGTCTGAGCAGTTTTTCGATCTTTGCTTGGGGTACCCCATTTTCTGGTATCCGACAGAAGCATTGCTTGCTGTCCTTGATAGGAACAGGCTATCAGTTTCTCGGATACAAGGGCAAGGATATGACGGGGCTTCTAATATGAGAGGTGAATTTAATGGACTGCGGTGTATTGAAAACTGGCGAGGTATCTACAGAAAATGGAGTATTGAAACTGGCGAGGTATCTATAGGAAGAGGCTTGAATCAAGAAACTATCCTTGCTAGGCCTTGGGATACTAGATGGGGTTCACATCATGTTACTTTGGTTCGCTTGTCCCAAATGGGGACTCAGTGATAAAGGTACTTCAAATAGTTCATGAAGATGGACGAGTGCCAAATCAAGCAGCTGGTTTGATACAGAAAATGGAGTGCTTTGAATTTGTTTTTATTATGGTGCTTATGTTAAAGGTTCTTGGCATCACAAATGAGCTCTCACGTGCCTTACAAACAAAAGGTCTCAATATTGTTAATGCTCTTGAGGTTAGTTCTTATTCAATTGTTCCCTTTCTTACAATATTGGTTTTCTTATTCAGCTATTTCCTTTTGCTATTAATTTGACTGCACTTATATAATTCAATTGTAGCTTATCCATGATGTCAAAGCTCAGTTTAACACCATGAGAGAGTGGCTGGGATAACTTATTTGATGAGGCAAGACAATTTTGTGATTTGAATGGTATTCCTATTCCAAATATGGCTGAGGAAATACCAGTGAGAGGTCGTTCAAGGCGTGATGGATTTACTGTTACTAATCTTCATCATTATCATGTTGGGATTTTCTACGTTGTTCTTGATAAAATATGTGCTGAGATGAATCATCGGTTCACTGAAGCGACGATGGAGCTATTGATGTGCTTTTCTTGTCTTGATCCAAAGAACTCTTTCTCTAGTTTTGATGTCAACAGTCTTGCTCGGCTTGCTGAAATTTATGCTGAGGATTTCTCAAATCATGATCGTGGAGTCATAAGGGGACAATTGGAGACATATATTCTTCATGTAAGGAGGCATGCTGCCTTTGCTAATTGCAAAGATATTGAAAGTTTCTCCCAGAAAATGGTTGAAACTGAAAAACATTTGCTTTTTCCATTGGTCTACAAGCTCATTGAATTGGCCTTGTTGGTGCCGGTGTCAGCAGCAACTGTTGAAAGGGCTTTCTCATGTATGAAGACTATCAAGTCTAAATCCCGCAATAGGATTGTTGATGATTGGTTCAACAACTTTATGATATGCTATATTGAGCAAGAACTATTCAATTCACTTGATGAAACTACTATTATTTGGCGGTTTCAAAACTTGAAGAGTCACAAGATGCAGCTGCCTTGTAACCATGCTCGTGGCCGTGGGCATCAGTAGTTACCAATTAGCATTTAGGTTTATCTTTTGTGTTTCATTATCTAAGTCGTGAACTTGTGTACTGAAAAATCATTTTAATATTTTAATTTGAATCTATCATGGTTTCCTAATTTTATATGTATGTTATATAATATATTCATGTGCATTGCTTGTCACTGTTAGCTCGGCGTATTGTCACGCCCAAGCTCTCGAAAATTCCTGGCTCCACCACTGTGGGTGGGCAACCGTCTCTACAAATATATTTTTAGAGGCTTGAGGTGGTGGACTTGAGCTATTTGTCTCTAAAAATTGTTTCCATTCAACTCGGGATGTGTTGCTTTGCACATGGCCTCTTTACCCATGTTTGGTCCATTGAATGATGTCAAATGAAAAACTAGACTAGAAACTTTTAGAACTTGTTGAGATGTAAAATTGTCACATAAAGTTTATATTTATCTAACTATAATACGTTAGGTCTTCATCTAGCCTCCCTCTGCTACATCCATACCGGCCAAGAAGACCGTCGCACCGTACCCTACCACAAGGCTCACCCTCTCTATCATAGCCTCCAAGCTTGGCAAAGCCGCATCAACACGAGGTGCATATCAACACCCGATTGGACAGTTCGTCCGAGGCCCTTCCGAGGGGGTCTCGGGCGAGGCAGACGGGCGCGGCGAATGTGATGACTTCGTCAAACTTGAGATCTGTCAGCTTAGTGTTTCGAAGATGCTCATAGGAATATGATGTGGTTCATAGGAGTATGGAGTCCAACATGTTTGTAAGTGTTTGTACTCATAGGCATGAGGTAGGAGTGAGTGTTTCTAGTGCGATGAAAATCACCTAGTTCCAAAAATACTATTAGGTAGCGAATTGAGCTCAATTGCTTGGGTTCTTTGTGGCAGAACTTCCTACATGGGTTCAAGTTTCTGCCTCAACGCAGGGGCTCGCGTTTTTTATGTAAGGTTTAAGTATTTTTCTTGACATGAGTGCTCGCATTATCTAGATTTATACCAGGGGTGCGTGGCGTTGGATGTGTACTCCAGGATTTATTCCTCGATCACCAATTTTGGCATCTGCTGAATCAGTCTTTCGAAAGTCATATGAGATGTGCAAACGTGCTGTGATTCGCAGGAAATAAAAGACTATTGGGTCAGTTACTGTTGTAGTTTCGTGGCACACATGCACGCATAACATAAAGCATCCAATTGCTCGTTTACTGCTGACCTGCAGAGCAGGCTGCTTGTGCTTTCTTTGCTCCTTATCGGAATCGGTCCGTTTCTCGGTCGGCCATCCGGATATCGCCGTGTCTCAAGATGCGACGATGATTTTAATAAAAAAAGAAAAAAACTGCGACGCCACGATCAGACCACGGCGAGGCGCTCTGGTATATCGCAATCTCGGGTTTCTTGGATTAGCTAGGATCGATGTGTATCTTTTATAGAGAGATATTGTTGACGACGCATGGGTGCTGCAGGGCATCTGCATCAATGTCTCGTCATTCATCAACCCTCCAAAAACACGTGTTCGGTGAATCCCCTTGGAGAGGATCGGAAGGGATTGAATGAGGTTAAAGGGAGACTTTAACTTGTAGGAAGTAAAATTTTCTCAATCCCCTTAGATTGAGGATTAACCGAATGAATAAACCCTAAAGTTGGGTCAAACGAGCTAACAGTCTCAATGATGGCTAATAGAACAATGTATTTTGCTCGTGCCATGCAGCACAACCATAACTGCATATCACTGTTAGGCAAACGATTTTTTAATATTGCCATAGATTGTGAAGATGTAGACTTTGTAGAGATGGGTTGTAACAGCCACCTTTTTTTTTTGCAACTAAAATATAGGGCACAAAGGCTAATGTCGCTTTGAGCAATAAGCTAGGTGGGTCCGTCTTCTGGGAAAAAAAAAATTCTACCTCCAACCACTATGAGATGTCCTAGCTACCTGCGTTCACGTGAGATGTAAACAGTACCACAGCAGAAAAGTAATGTATTTTATTTCCTTGTGGCTGCACCATAGCCTTGAGGTCGTTTACTGTCTGGTTTTAGTTGTGGCTGCAGGCCGCAACGGCCGTTCGGCTTAACTTATAACCTATACTATTCAGCTTATTTTTTTTAGTTAGGATATTATTTTTCTCTCACAATAATTCAGTCAGAACAATATTTTCAGCAAATTCAGCTAAGTTTTAACAAGCCGAACGGAACCGATGCTTGTGGCACATTCCTGTAGCAGCATTTAATGCCTAAGGTTACCTTTTTTATGCACATTGTGGGTGCCCTTAGTGTTTTAATTCTTTCTATACCACTGCTGTTAGCACAGCTACCTCAGCTCTCTCCACCGTCATTACCTAGGTGGTTGTCATATATTTTTTTTTGCCTCGAGGTTCAGTGGCCACCTATGTCCCTGTTGAGGCGTGCCCATGATCACCTCCCTCCGTGAGCTCAAAGATCCCTCAAGATCATCTCCTATGTGAGCGCTTGCTCAATCACGAGGTACACCACAAGCCTCAATACCATTATAGTTGCTCTTTACTAGGGATGAAAACGGATCGGATACGAACGGATATCACTCATATTATATTTGTTTTCATATTTCTGTTCTTATTCGGATTCGGACACGGATAGCGTTCGGATACTTATACGAATACGGATTGACTCGGTTACGGATACGAATAATGAGTATCGAATACGGTATGAATCGGATTCGGAGAAGGTCGGATACAAATATCTATTCGGATATTGAGTAAAAGCAGCAGATATATATATATATATATATATATATATATATATATATATATATATATATATATATATATATATATATATATATATATATATATATATATATCATACGTGCGCAAACCATTACACCACTCTATGAGTCCATAATCCATCTAGATTAAGCCGAAAGACTAAAGAGTAAAGCAACAAATAAGATAAAGATACAGATACATCATACAAGCACCAATCTTCGCGGCATGAGTAGAAATAGCCAAGCTCATGACTTCATGGGTCTCATGGAGTCATGGTCATGGATTCAAGATCTACAATCCTTATATAGGCCATTTTTTTCATTTGAGAAAGTTTGAACAAAATGTAGTTCAAATTTCACAAGTGTGTGACATAGTTTTAGAAAGTCTGTATGAGATTCAAGAATTTGTGACTAGTGTTTGATAAAACTTTCTCAAATGGGAAAATGAGCTATGTAACAATTGTAGATCTTGTTGAGATGATCAAACTTGGTATTCAGAGTTTTTTCATCTGAGGTCATTTAGTGTCTCATTTGAGCAAGTTTGACCAAGTCAAATTTGGTCAAATGAAAAAATAACACTTTGACTCTAGTATTATGAACTCTAAATGACTTCAAATTGAAAAGTTTTGAATACCAAGTTTGTTCAACTCATCAAGATTTACAATTCTTGTTTTGGTCAACTTTTCATTTGAGATAGTTTGGACGGTTCAAATTTGTGATTTTTAAATTTCAATGCTTACAAACTAGTTTTCGGAACCCTAGATTGTCTCAAATTGAAAAGTTTTGAATACCAAGTTTGTTTAGCTCATCAAGATCTACAATCCTTATATAGGCTATTTTTTCATTTGAGAAAGTTTGAACAAAATGTAATTCAAATTTCACAAGTGTGTGACATAGTTTCAGAACGTCTATATGAGATTCAAGAATTTGTGACTAGTGTTTGATAAAACTTTCTCAAATGGGAAAATGAGCTATGTAACAATTGTATATATTGCTGAGATGATCAAACTTGGTATTCAGAGTTTTTTCATCTGAGGTCATTTAGTGTCTCATTTGAGCAAGTTTGACCAAGTCAAATTTGGTCAAATGAAAAAACAACACTTTGACTCTAGTATTATGAACTCTAAATGACTTCAAATTGAAAAGTTTTGAATACCAAGTTTGTTCAACTCATCAAGATCTACAATTGTTGTTTTGGTCAACTTTCCATTTGAGATAGTTTGGACGGTTCAAATTTGTGATTTTTAAATTTTAACGTTTACAAACTAGTTTTCGGAACCCTAGATTGTCTCAAATGGAAATGTTTTGAATACCAAATTTGTTCATCTCATCAAGATCTACAATCCTTATATAGGCCATTTTTTCATTTGATAAAGTTTGAACAAAATATAGTTCAAATTTCACAAGTGTGTGACATAGTTTCAGAAAGTCTATATGAGATTCAAGAATTTGTGACTAGTGTTTGATAAAACTTTCTCAAATGGGAAAATGAGCTATGTAACAATTGTAGATATTGCTGAGATGATCAAACTTGGTATTCAGAGTTTTTTCATCTGAGGTCATTTAGTGTCTCATTTGAGCAAGTTTGACCGAGTCAAATTTGGTCAAATGAAAAAACAACACTTTGATTCTAGTATTATGAACTATAAATGACTTCAAATTGAAAAGTTTTGAATACCAAGTTTGTTCAACTCATCAAGATCTACAATTGTTGTTTTGGTCAACTTTCCATTTGAGATAGTGGATGGTTCAAATTTGTGATTTTTAAATTTTGACGCATATAAACCAGTTTTCCATTTGAGAAAGTTTGGACGGTTTAAATTTTGAAGCACTAAATGATTTCAAACGAAAAAGTTGTAAACAACAAAGTATCATAACTTTTTGAGATCTATAATTTTTATTTTGATCATTTCTCCATCCAAGGTCGTTTGAATAATATCCGGATAATATCTGTTTTTAAATATCCGGATATATCCGATACTTAACCGGATTATCCGATATCCGCCGGATATCGATGATATTACATCCGTATTTGATATCCGCCTAAGATATCCGTTTTAGTATCCGTATCCGAAAAAAATTACGAATATCCGAGTAACTATCCAGATAAGTATTCATATTTGTTCGGTTGAACGGACGGTCGAATAAATATCGGTACCGTTTTCATCCATACTCTTTACGTTGCCTGCAGGGATGAGCACAAAAGCCCCGAACAAATCCTCCTTCAGAACACAAGAAAAAAAAACGTGGGAGTAGTTTTGAGTGAAAACGGAGGCGGCATTTTTATTTATTCCATTACAAGCACAGGGCACAAAAAAAACCTGGCATTCGTCACACACTCTTCTACATCGATTCCTTTCCCATTTTTTTCGTTCTTACCGTACGTCCTTTTTATTCACATGTACACACACCTGATGGAAAAAGCTCACCAGCCATGCTTGCATGCGCGCAGTCCGCCGATAGACGTTTTCATCAATTCCTACAACCAGAGCGCGCCGGCGTTCCTGAGCATGGGCACGAGCTCGCCGGAGAGGTGCAGCGCCATGACCCTGTTGGTCCCGCCGATGAGGTCGCCGCCCACGAACACCACCGGCACGGTGGGGTGCCAACGCCGGCGCCGAGCCTCCTGGCCAGCTCCTGCTCCATCTCCATGCCTCGGGGGTCCCTGTCCAGATCGTGCACCGCCGCGTTCACGCCCAGGCTGCTCAGCAACGACGTCACGACGTCGCCCATGCTGCAGTTGCTCGCCGTGAACACCACCACCGCGCGCTCCGACGCCAGCCTCGCCACGTGGTCCATTGCCATCGTCGATCTGCTGCTTGTTTACCGCACCCGGACCGGAAGGTTCTAGAGGCTTCTAGTCCCCCTCTCCTTGGGTGCTGAGATGATTTCGAAGGTGATGTGGTTTCTTGCTTCTACTGGCCATGGGACGGCTTGCCTTTTATAGGCTGGAAAAAGGTGTTGGATTGTTGGTACGTGGTACCTACTTGCATTGGATTAAGATTCTATTCTTGACAACTAACTGATAGCATTTGCTGAATGTGTTATATTATAATATGTGCAAATGGAACATGTATAGCTAGATTTGGTTCTTCTATATATAAATGAATCCATGTCTGTGTTCAAGCATGAGGGCCCTGGGAACATTGGAATCGCTCTCTCTCTCTCCCCTCATGACTCACGAGTCGACCACAGACAAAATTTGCAATATTATATCACGAATCTGAAAAACCATAAGGATCTTTTCAAAAGCATGGCTCATAAGGATAGAGCTGTATAGATATATGGGGATTTTCTTCGGTCATAGTTTATATGCAAAACAATCTTCAAAGAATATTAACACTTGCACTTATATTTTCACATACTGACCAATCACACAGGTTAAAGATACTAGTCATATATGCCTTTTTTCAGAGAAATACTAGTAATATATGGTTGACAAGCTGAAAAAAAGTCAATTTTCTTCTACTGTTGTTCGTAGTCTGTGAAACTTGCAATAAATGAAAAAAAAACTTTGATGGAATGCAAGCTATTTCCTTGTATCATATATTTAGTCATTGTTAAATGCTGTTCCGTTCTGTGAAAGTCTCGTTGTCTGAATGTTGTCCTGCATGTAAATTGAGAGTTGAGACCGCTGACTCCTACTGTAAATACACAAGTCCATACAGAAAGCAAAGGTGCCGACAACAACACGGCGACGTTTCGTCACATGACAATATGACAGCAGGATCTGATTCCTCTGGCTAAGAGCAGGCACTCTGTATTGGAGGGATCAGGCTCCTGAATCCTGATCTTCAGGTTCAGAATAGCATCTTCAGACAGAGAACCTACCGTCTCTGCGTCTCATTCAGTCCCTCACACAAAGTCACACTCACACACTCTCTCTCTCTTCTTACCTTATCCGCAGTGGCAGAATCTCCCCCATTTGCTATCTGTAATTCCTTTGAATAGTTACACCATACTTGGTGAGTAAATCATTAGTCAAGACACTTGTCTGATAATTCTGCTCAATTTGCTATATTTTGTTCTCTGAAGCTTTTTCACCACAGCAACATCTTTATCAGATATGCAGGCATTGCCTTGCCAGTGCCACAGTGCTGCACAGCCTTGCATTGCGTATCAGCAAGGCCATGCTGTGTAACTGACGCTATGGAACAGTCGCCGTTGATATGCTGCAATGGTTCTTCTGATATTCTCACGTATGATGCAAACCCCCCAGGACAAGACCATGGCAATGGAGAATGTGGATAGACATGTATCCTTATCCTCAAGATCTACCCTGGCAGTGCTGATTATCTGTAGAACTTTGCATCTTGAGATTCCTTCCTGAGTCTGATCAGTTCTTGGCTCCTCGTGTTTGCAAAGGGCTACGTGCATTGATCTACAAAAGCATATCTGAAACAAAGGTAAAGGTGAGGTGCAATGGAGAGGGAAAATTCTGGAAATATCTTACAAAGAATCCCATGTTATATAGTTTTATAACATGTAGCCAAACAAGGGGTGCCACCAAATATATCCATCACATAAGCGCACACAATGTTATAGATTACATATACAATTCTCACTTCATACGCTGAGAGAAAATACACAAATTGTCAGGTAGTGAGTAAATACCAAATAAGGAGTACCATCAAATCATCCAATTAAATCCTGTTACATTTCACACACATACATAAATCAATGAAGGTTTGCAAGGGGCTGCATTCTTTGATCTGCAAAAGCAAATGCATACCTGAAATGATGGTAAAGGTGAGGTGCAATGCCGTGAAAAAAAATCTGGAAATATCTCTGGTAGCAACACCATGAGGGAATGACCAAACAAGGAGTACCATCTAATACTTGCATTACTTAGCAATATATGGTATTATTTATATACATGAATTGAATTGTGCGGACAATCTTATGGAGCTTACATGTACAATTCTCACTCGAGCAAAGGGGGCATATTTAAAAGGTGAGCCTCTCCTTATCCTCTGGAGAGCTCTGGGAGCGCTCAGTATTTCATGAGCTGTACACAAAATGAAAATGAAAATACTGTACAGGGGTGTATTTCGTGGCAGACAAAGTCACATAGATTCTAGAGTTTCTGGTTCTTCTGGATATCTTGACAAGATGATGGATCCATCAACTTCACGAATGTAGCTGTATACTGAGTTGGCTGCACCAATCACAAATTGACAGGTTCCCCTTGAATCAGCATGTAGTGTGACACCGTAGTACTCAAGATGATCTGCTACGCTCATCCCATAGACCGACCTTTTGAAGCAACGGCAAACAATAAGCAACACATGCAAGAAAATAAATATCCAAAATAGATAGGCAGATACATACCTGCTACAGGTTGGGTCCTCACCAGAATCATCACATAGCGTCTCATTTCTGGTAATTACATTTCCATCTATGCTCTCATGAAGCCAAACCTGAAGATAAATAAATGCAGAAGAAATGGATTAACGGTAACGTGGAGAAGTACGCATCTCTGTAAACTCTTTTTTACTATCGGATACACACCTCTCTAGCAAAGTGGTGGTATGTCCATTCACCTAGGTAATAATAGTACGGTGGTAAATGCGGCACAATATCATTCTGATGGGTCACGCGGATTGTTCTTGGGACCTGTCCACCAAAGTATACAGCAAAAGCAGGATTGCCTATCCGAGGCTGTCCAAAAGTCATGAGCTCAACCTCCTTTGATCCAAATGTAACCTGTAAAAGAAAAGGCAAAGATATCATTGAAGCCAGCCATCTGATATATTAACAGTACATGCGATGGTAGTAGAGCATATATTGAAATTTGATGCAATAAACCAAGTACATTAAAAATACTTACAGATAGATCAAGGGCACAAAACGAAGCTAAAGCCCCTCCCATGGAATGTCCCACAACATTTATGGGTAGATTTCCATATGTTTTTCTTGCCCATTTAATAGACTTCAGGATCTCATATCGCATAGTTGTATTATAATATGCAGTATAAAACCCATGATGTACCTAGAACATGAGACAGATAAGCAGCAAGCAAACACAAGTTACTACTAATTCAATGAGAACTCTAAACATCAACAACAATTTGACTAGTGGAGTTACCATAGCATCCGGCATGCCTGGGTATGCCACATCAAGCTGCTTCCAGAAAAGATCTTCGATCCAATTTGAGACACTGTGCAAGTTAAATTCCAAGACATCAAATCAATGAGAAGTGAAGATTGAAAGTGTCATACATCTAATGAGAGGCCCCCAACCCCGAGCTAACGGATCAAGGGAGGCCCTAGGGGCTCTTGTGGCAGGAGGAGGAGGCGCCATCACCCACGCCCGCCGTCATGTTCGGAAGAGATTAGATTAGGAGGTTTACCATATTAGAGTTTGGTTTGTTATGGAAGGAGAATCCAATCTAAAAGGATCTCCCGTAGTTGCTTGGGATACAGGTCCAATAGGGACTATATATACAAGGAGGATGTAATCAATCTAATCAAGCAATAGAAGAGCAATTACTCCTTCCCCTACCTCTCCCTCTCTCCCTCCCTCGCTGACTCTCCTCCCCTCTCCTCAGCGCCTTGCCGCCCTCCCCTGTGTCCCCCCTCCCCCCCGCTAAACCCTAGCCGCCACCCACCAAGGCCCCCCCCCCAACAGGGCTCTTACAGAAAGCTTATAAATAGCTTATGATATTTGATTAAAAGATTACAATTTTATAAGTTGAAAATTGAAACACATAGCTAAATAACTAGGATAAAAGGTTGATGCACTCAGAGCAAATGCCCATACGTTGAGTCTCGACTCATAATGGAGCATTTTCTGTACCTGTGCTGTTGAGTGCCTCTAAATGCAATGATTATGGATCGAGGGTCAGGCGCAACTCCAACAAATGCCTGCACAATTTTTTAACAAACAACCGAACTTAAGTTTTCATTGAGCACTGAGTGCAAGCAAAAGAGCTTTGCTGAAATAGAAATACATAAATATAGTTAACCTGTAAGCAGTTCTCCACATCTACTATGATCTCTATCACCTCAAAACCCTGCATCAATAATGCAAAAACAGACGATTAAATGCAAGGAACATATAGAACAACTTTCAGAAGCAGAGGAAGCACAGACCTTTGTGTGGCCTTTGCACCTTGGACAGGTCCATAAGAAAAGTGATGTTAAGTCAGATGTGTACACCTGAAACGCATTTACGTAAACCAAGTCTGAAAAAGGACAAAAATGTATTCTGGAGATAGAAACATGGGAATCATTATATATATGCATGCCTATCAAAGAACCATTCAGAGATGCAACAACCAAGAACAGGATAGCTATCAGTGACTGAAAATGCTGCATAGAAATGGGAGGGAACCTTAAAAAGGAAAGGGTGTGAAAGGCAAGTTCCAGAACAGAAATTATCTAGCTAGGCAAGGACAATAGAAAGTTTGGGCAGACTTATGATGAAGTTGCTGTCAACAGAATTAGTATCACACTGTCAAGGAGGAACTTACTGCAGATGCGTATTCGACGAGAATATGAGCAAGAGTATGATTGTAGGAATAACCATCATCACTGTGCTTCAGCCTGATCACTGCATTGGCAAAGAATGGTGTGAAGAGTTTACACCCGATTTACTGGAAGAGCACATAAAAGCACCATAACAGTAAAATAAATCTTCGCGACACTCACAAACTAGAGTTGGGCAATGTGACTACATCCAATCCAATGGCATTACCAATCTGAGAAGCAAACAAGGATAAAACATTACTCTGTTTTCCAAAAATCTACAGCACTGGCATCCCCAAGCACGTGGACAAGAATCACCTTTCCACAATACAGCATCGCTATGCTGAAAATCGCTTGCAGTTGACAATGGGCAAGTAATTGTTGAAGCTTCATCTCAATTAAGCAGAAGTGGATACATCTACTCAAACGGGAGGAGCAGAAGAAGGCCACTGAGGCTTTGCTGTCTTGGATCAAGGCGATAAGCGGAAATGATATTCTGTTGCCTGATGTGTGCGAAATCTGTAATAGGATTAAGTCTTCTGGTTGCTGAACTTTTCTTTTTTAGCTGGTATATATCCCCAGCAGTGACGACTTGTAAACATTTGCTTTGAACAAAAGCAGAGATCTTGTCCTTCTAAGAAAAAAGAAGTCGAAGCGGTTGCATCAACTGCGCACACCACTTGACCCACACAGGCCACAGGGCACAGTACGACAATAGTATAGTAAGCACTGTTGAAAAGGTAGTAGCTTCAGAACCTTTCCCCAATCCAAATCCTCCCCACACGAAAAGGCCAAATCGGGAGGTGCAGCAGTCGGCGCACTAGAAGCAAGCTACGCTGCTTCCCAGCGTCGGCCGTCCTCAATTCCTCATCTAATCTAGACCAATCGGCACTACATCCCGTATGTTATGCACTCTGAGGTCTGAGCTTCTCGCGCTGCGCCGGCAAAGCCGCAGCAACCAATCGGCTCCCCGGCCCCTAGTAGCTAATCGCCGTCCCGAGCAACCACGGACCGTCCGGAACCTCTTTTCCTCCAGCACATGGACGGACGGACGGAGCGGGCGACCGGCAGTCGAAACGGGAGGGGGGGAAAGCTCATCGAACTCACCTGTTTCCCCCTGCCCCGCCGCCGCCGCGGTGGGGGAAGAAGCGGAGGCCAGAAGCACCGCGACTAGCAGCAGCAGCGTCGCCGTCCGCCCAAGCCAGGCCATCGCCGTCTCCGTCTCCCTCTCTGGCTCGCCCCCACCCCCACCGGAGGAGACTGGTAAAGAAGAAGAAGAAGAAGACGGCGGCGAGGGGCAACCCACCACACAGAGAAATTCTTCCGAGGGCCGTTCCGTGAAGTTACGGAACAGTTGACAGCGACGGCCCGCGGTTGGGTTACCGTTACCGCGTCGGCTAACACCCAACCATACGCAGCCACGCGTCCCGCGAGAGGGGTTAACGGAATAGCCTGCCCGCTTAGCGTTTTGCAGTTTAGCCCTCGGGTTACCCAGATATGTGAGGGGGAAGGACGAGCAGAGAGAGGAAGGGTCGGGGTCAGAGCCAGTGTCTGGCACGCTAATAGATAAAGAGGTGGAGGGTGCACCTCGAAAACGACCCGGCCGGAGGAGGAGGACGGCACGGCAAGGCTTGCCGTCAACGGCACTGCGGCAGGCCCACATGTCATGCGCACGGCCGGCGGTGGCGTTCGTCTTCGCCAACGGTGGTTGGCTGGCTGCCTTGAAGTTGAAGGGGTTTGGGTTTGCCCGGCGTTCTAGAGAAATGTGGCACCGAGGTCTAAACGTGTGTGCGCTTGCTTTGACCAATCCAGGATTTTTCGTACAAAATTCTGAGAACACATCCGTGCAAGCAAAGTAGATGGCTAATGGCCTTCCTGGCCATATAGGGCGTGTTTGGTTGTGTTTTTCGCTAGAGCCCGGTTAGAAAAATAAGCTTGGCTAGTTTAAGCGTGTATAGGATAGTACAAGATCCACTTGTTTGGTACGCATGTACTAGTTAAGCCTGGCTAGCTAAGATCTTGTCTGGTTGGTCGGATTGTTTTGGTACACTCACCTCATCTTTGTTAGGGTAACTTTTAGCTGCATCACCTCCCAAGTTTGTTCTTGTTGACATTCTATCGAACGGCTACTGCTCACACCGGTTCACTGTCCAACACTTTGCTCGCCGCCACCACCTTGCTCCTCGAGCGCCGACGACCACACCTCCTCAAGCGCCGACGGCCACACCAGTGTGGGGCGGAGCCGCCGGAGAAGCACACCGTGGAGGCGCCCCGAATGGTTGCTGGAGATTCGGTAGGGGCTAGAGCCGAGTATGGTCGCTGGAGATCCGTTGGAAGCTTGGGTGGATTGGTGGCCGACGGGAGCTCGGTACGATTTCGCCGTCGGAGATCTGGCTTGAGCTCGGGCGGAGGAATGGCTGGCGAGATCGAGCACAGAGCGGAGCTCACGTGGTGGCCTCTGTTCCTTAGCGTGCGCCTCTGCTCCCTTGCGTCGTCGTCCTCGGTGGTGGTGGAGGCGCCCCTGAATGGTTGCTGGAGATTCGGTAGGGGCTCGAGCCGATTATGGTCGCTGGAGATCCGCGGGGAGGTGAGGAGCACGCCGGGGAGGGAGGTGAGGAGCTCATTGGGGCAGGAAGTGAGGCGGCGTCGGGGCGGGAGGCGAGCAGCTCGCCAGGGTGAGAGGTGAGGTGCTCGGCGTAGGCGGGAGGTGAGGTGCCGGTGTGGGAGGTGAGACGAACGCTAAGCCAAGCTTGGCTCCACGGAAACGACCGAACCCCTCGTTTCCAGTAAGCCTGGCTAAGGGGTGGTGGTTGCATTGCTGAAGCCTGGCTACGAGGCCTTTACAAGCAACCAAACAGCCCCAGCCTGCATTCCTAGAGCCTGGCCAGGAGGTAATGCAGGGAACCAAACAAGCCCATATATATCTAGGCTGCGCTCGTTTAGCATGCACTGCTGATCAGGTTACCAGATTATTATATTAGGCAGGGGCGTAGACAGGATTTGAACATAGGAGGGCCATTCAAACCGGCAATAGTCGTGCTAGACACTAAATGTCAAATGGCAAATAGTCGGTCACTTGTCATTTAGCCATTTTTCGGATAAATTAAAACGGTCACTTAAACGGGCAAAATGGTGGTTTCAATATGTTGAAAGGACGAACCAAATGGAAACAGCGTACCACTATGTGGCGTTTAAATGTTGAGTACACGAGCTAAACGACCGTTTAGACGAACAGTGACAGGAACATAGGAGATAAAGGAAGATAACAGGAAAGCTAATGCTAAATAATATTGATGCCATTATTGGAGGTCAATTTAGAGGGAGCGAACAAGCAAAGCACTTATTTTCAATTTACTAGCTAATTGGAGAGAGTGGTATGGGGAAAACTAATGTTTGGTAGGCAATAATAAAAATAAAAGAGATGGAGAAAATATCCAGAAAACCTAATTTTGTTTATATAAGGTACTATTGGAGATTAATATGGAGGAAGAACAAAAAAATCATAGTACAATAGTATCATTAACTAGCTAATTAGATAATTAAGTATCTAATTTTGAAAGGGGTATTATTGGAGGTATGGGAAGGTTTGGGGTTGCCAGGCTCCTCTCAGCCCCTCCTTCCCTCAGCCACCAATGCTAGGCTAATTAGGCCAGGCCAATCGCTCCGTGCTGGCTGGAAGCCCTAGCTTCCATGTCAGCGCGCAGCATCCTAATCACTGTCGTTGATGGTTTCACGGACGCTCAGAAGTGCTTGCAGGAGCAATTAGGGCCCCGGCTGATAAAAAGCTAAAGATACTGCTAAATCATGCATTATGATAAATTTTTTTGATGTTTCGTTCTAGAAAAAAATGGTAGTGCAATGGCTTCCACGGGAGAAAGAATGGGGAGGGCACTTTGCACCGGAGAAGGGACAGGAGGTAAACCGCATCGAAGCTATTAAATCGGAGAAGAGAGGAGCCGTTGCCCCACTGGTGAAGGGCCTAGTCCAAAGACGGACAGGCTTATGGAAGAGGAGCCTCGTCGAGCCGAGGGGCCTCCCTGGGGACCTGAGCCATGAGAGGGGTGTCGCAGGAGGTTGCCGCGTGGAGGGAGGTCACATGCTGGGAGGAGGAAGTGAAGCTCACATAGACGAAAACTACCAACCGTTAAAAATGAAGGTCGGGGCCAACGCCCATGGGGATGGGGACCGAGGAGGGTGGGATTTGAGGGCCTGCCTACTTTGGGGTTTGAGTCGAGGCTTTTGTTGGAGCTATGATTTTTACTCAGGCCCTCAAAATTAAATTTAATAATGTTTGAGAGTCCTTCTAAGATTCGTCTTATACTTCTTCGAGGAGGGAAAGAAACTTCTTTTTTGTTTTTTTAAAAGAAATCTTTTCCTCTTTGTACTCATTCCATTCAAGAGAATTTCAACCAATTTTAAGCACTAATATTTATGATATTGAATAGTACTAATATTAAATAAAATCTACACAAAAAGCACTAATATTTATGATATTGAATAGTTATCATTAGATTAATTATATGATATATTTTCATAATATTTTAAGTTTGACTCAACTTAAATATATAATTATATCTTTTTAGGACCAAGAGAGTCGGTAATATATGATGCATTATTTTTTTATTTCTTTTTTCCTAAAGGGGACACATTGAGGGATTGAACTTTTTTTTTTCCTTTTGAGGAGAGATCGAGGGATTGAACTGAATGGATGGTTTCCTTGATATCCTAAAACCTTGTTTTTTTAGGGGAGCTAACACCTTGCTTATGAAGCCCAAGAATGAAATGTCTGGCCCGACCTAGACAGTATTCTCAGCACATAGTAGCTAACAATTGGCGGCCCACTAATCTTGCAAAGGAAGGAAATAGCAAACGGGCCCAAACACAAAGCCGGCAATGGCAGCAAAAGCATTTCCCCAAACGGATCGAACGCCCATGGCTTGTCGCGGCATCTCGTCCACATGCGAAGAGCTTCTAGATACTTGTTTGAAGATGTGGATCGTGGAAGCATGCACAGTGCGGAGGAAGGATTTCAACCTTTATTCTCACACGTTTCCTGGTGTCTCAGACCCCAGAATGTTCAGGCGACGTGCGTGCGTTATTCTTCAATCTGTGCAGCATCAATACAAATATATTATGACCATAGGATGTTAATCTAGTGGCCGCTAGCTGTTAAGTTAGATTTCAGGCACCTGAAATATAGCATATCCCCATAGCCGTCCCGTAGCCACTGCCTTCAGCCTCTTGGCCGCCCACGTCCCCACCCATCCTGTAACACCCTAAAATTTACATGGTTTGAAATTAGGTGAATTGGATTTATTTACGCATTAGTGTGAGCATGTAACATAGAAAAATAATGAATTTTATCAAATTAAAGTCAAATATAAGGTTTACCAACATGTTTATGCATTCATACTGCTGCATACTATTTTTGTGTTGTGTGGTTTGAAGTCAGATTTCAAATTGATTCGAATTTGCATTCAAAATTTGTTTGGAAATTGGTTTAGAAAATTGAAAAGTATTTTTCTCTCCCCTTCCTTGATTTCGGCCCGCTGCAGCCAGGTCGGCTTGCTTTTCCCGTCGGCCCGGTCGCCTCACTCCCGCTTTTGGGCCGCCCGTGTCATCCGTTTTTTTAGCGCGGCCCAGTTTCCTCTTCTCTCACTTGGGCGCTGGCCCAGCTTCGCCCGCAACCTAGCTCGGCAGGCAGCGTGCCCGCGCGCTCCTTCACCCTCTCTAATAGCCTGGGCTCGCCTGTCAGGATCTCCCCCTTCCTTCGTCTCGTGTTCGGCACGGACACCGCGCCGCCGAGTCTGCCTCCACCCCGATGCGCTCGGATGGCGCGCGCCCCACGCCTCTGGCCCTCATATAAGTCGGCCCTACGTTGCGCCGCCCTCACCTGACCCTCTTTGCTAGCCGCCACCGTCGTTTGAGTAGCAGTCGTCGCAAACCTAGCGCCGCCGCCGCCGCCGTCCGCTTCGCTGAGCTGCATGCCGCCGCAGTCCCGCCTACGTTCGTGAAAAGCCCTTCGGTGAGTCTGCCGTCATCTCTCTCTCTCTCCATGCCCTTGATTCGCTCAATGGTGGTCCGTAGGCCGTGTTTCGTGCGCACCGCTCACTTCCGGCCATGGCGCCACCGCGCTCGGTCCTGTTCCGGTAGGCCGTCCACGCCAGCCCTCTCTCATCTGTACAATCTAAGATCAAGGTCCAGGATTAG